CCTATATATATACCTATAGAGCTTAGGACACTGAACCGAACCGAACACTACACTATATATATATACTTAATACGCTGCCGTAGACAATATTATGACTTTCCGTTTAGGGTTAGAATGTAAAGATTCTACGCATTAGACGACACACGAACATATTGAGTGAAGTCGTTTACAATATCGTTTTTAAGTGCAAGATTTGCCCTTTCACATAGAAGTTGATCTTCACATATATTGTTTTGTAATATTAGTTTTGATTATGTTGAATTGATGCAAATCCGCAAGTTAATTGATTTTTAGTGGACCAGTGGTGTATTCTCGCGGTAAAAAGTAATCTATATAAATCTCCGTCTTCCTAACTACGTTCATATCAAATACCGTAGCAATCCGCCGAACCGTTAAAGCCGTCCTTTGGACAAATATACATTCAAATTAAGTATGACTTCAAATCAAAAGCACAAATCAACACATTTTCCCATGAGGATTAGACGTTGGTCAACTGTAAAAAGTAGCGTCCGACCCTCCATTAAACATTCCATGAAACATATATAACTATTTATATATATTATTTATAATTCTAATTATAAATGCATATCAATCCATAGATCCTTTAGGAAGTTAAGGAAGGTTATTTTTAGTATGGATTGATTCAAATGCGCATCATAATTGATCTTCCGATGAGAATGATATGTTTTACCGCGGTAAAAAATTGTCTATTCCAATCTCCAGCCTCCTAATGATCTCAATACACAAAATCATACCATAAAATCGTTCCGTTGCGACGTGAAAGGAGGACAAACAAACACATTTCTCATTTATAATATTCACACTTTCGCATTTATAATAAAATATGATGATGAAGTATAGATTTCCAACTACAAATTTATATCAATTCACAGATCCTTTATGAAGTTAAAGAAGGAAAACACATTGATACTTTTGAATTCGAGTGATTCCAATATGCAACTTAATGGATCTTTCCATGGGAATGAAATGTTTTACAGCGATAAATAGTACCTTATGCCTCCATTTCCACACACAAACATCATTCCATAACTTCGCACCGTCGTGACGTGAAAAAATGACAAACAAAGACACTTTCGCATTTGTAATGTTAATATGGAAATGGAAGTATGGATGTTTCATGTGGTTGCTGAGTTTGATACACGGGCTGATAGAACAGGATTTGATCCTTTTCTGTACAATTTTCAAAATCAATGTTTATTACTAGCTGCTGCCCGCGACTACATCCACGTAGAATAGGCTGTAGGTGTAACATGTTGACAGAAAGACAGATATACATAAAATATGTATATAAATTATAGCCTATGTCTTATTCTGATGTATAAGCTATATTATTGAAAAGTTTCATTAAAATCTATTCAGTAGTGTTTGAGTGAAAGAGTAAAAAACATCCAACCATACATAGAAACTTTCGCCTTTATAATATTAGTAAGGATTATCATTAATTAAGTTATAAATCTTCACTTTCAACGTTTGAAATTTTTCCAATAATTTATGAGCTTAATTATCTTCATTATCTTTGTAGGGAAAAAATATTTTTCATCTACTTTTTTACATAAGTTTTTTTTACCTACATATATAAAGAACATCATTTTCTTTTAAACATATCTTAAATCAACTTATAATACTTGACATCAAAAGTATATGATAAAAAAACTTCATCTTTAAACATTCTAAAAACTAAAAATAACCTCGCGTTCATCACAACCGTTTACTCTTGCTTGGCTTGTTGCAAATTTTTGGGCAGTTACATAAGGCTTTGTTGAACAAGGCTGCTGTGGCATTTCCTTTGAGAACTTACCTGCCTACCCGCGATTCTTTTCTCGGAACAAATGGTCTAACCTCGCGATGTTAGTCATCGGAGGCATTGCTAATCAAAACACTGGCAATTCGGCATTCCGAAAGTTTTGGAACCGCCTTCCAGCCATAACTTATCATGTTAATATTGTGATTCACCTTAATCATAAAAGATTTTATAGAAGCAAGCGCAACTTAACAGTCTAAGCTTCCACTTTCACGCATCATCCTTGCAAATTAATAGCGGAGATATAAAGCCAATTATCAAATATTAATTCAAACGTCTGCGTTTTAAACGGATTTAATGGATTAGAAATCATTCGAACGCAAATAAAAATCATTCCTATTCTTATTTAAAATTTAAAGAGATATCATATTAATAAGTAAAAGAAATTATTATGTGTAACCCAGCAACAATGAAATTTCTAAAGTTGTTATTTATAAATTAGATAATTTATTTTAAAAACATAGCAAGAGGGCAAGGAGCCAGAGTCGTTTTGAATCACAAATTTCTTTATGATTTTCTACATGTAATGTGCTAATATAAGGACAGTGTTGATCCCAAGAGATAAAATACTTTTTATTAAATTCTTTCTCTATAATCCATTTTCTTGTTGCATCTTTACTTTATTAATTCAATAATGTACATTTAACGCTTTGAGTTAGTGTCGATTATAATTAAGCTTTGTAATTAACTTTAAGAAATATTGTTCAATAGTCTCAATTCTCATGTTATACGGTTTGTTTTAAAAAGCCTGTCTTTTTTTGAATGAAACTAATTTTACGGATTTATCGCGTTTATTTTTAATTTTAATTCCCTGATCGGACACAAAATTAATAATTCAAAAACTGACGGTAGCCCGGGTTAACTATGACAATCAGACGTCTAACACCTCAGTCTGTCCCGTGACCATGAACGCTGTAAAGGGTTCGAAACGTCGGGAATTAAAATTAAAAATAAACGCGATAAATCCGTAAAATTAGTTTCATTCATAATGTGTAATCGCGTAAATACAATAAATTATTACTGTCTTTTTTTTTTTAAAAAAAAAACATAGCCCTTACTTTGGGATAACATTATCCGGTTCTGTAAGAATGTCCTACAAAAAAAATATTCACATGAACATACACCCAGATGCGAAACCTGTGGGTCACACAAATTGTTGTCCCGTGTGGGCATCGAATCCACAACCCCTGTCGCCGAAACCCAATACCTTGGCAACTGAGCCAAGGAGCGATCAAATTTGTGTTGTCGGTCTGATTTCACGAGTTTAAAACCATGTATTTAATTGATTAATTGTATTAACCATTATGTATTGTGATAGGCTCGTCTTCTGCAATGTTTTGGAACCTGATAAACTCAGTGAAATATGAATGAAAGCAGTATATCTACCTTTCGATACCTAACTGTGGTAGGACCAGGTTATAGTGTTCGCTGTTGCACTTATGGGCAGGTCCGTCCGGGTTAGTACCATGACCTCACAGAAACCTTGCGTGAAGTAGAAGTGTTTCATTTGGCTTCATTTCATCTGGTGAGTGAGGTAGCGGGGGCCCACTTTATTAAAAGGTGACAACACATCTGGTGGTTATCACTTAACCGGTGAACTACACTTATCAGGTGAACCCAGCTCCTTTTCCACTTTATCACATAAAAAAAAGAATAGAAAACATTCTTGCTCTCCATTTAAGAACGTGTATAGTTAAATTGAAACGTAAACATATACGTCACCAATGCTCATAGCAAATCGTAGATGACTGTATCACTGACAGAAGGATTTGTATAAATAATGAGCAAACGAAGGAACCCGGGGTTTTCACCGGCCATGAACAAATTCTCTGAAATGAGTGTATCAGGATGTTCTGAATATTCTTAGCTCTTGTTTCATCAATATTTCCCATAGCAATTGAGAAAACCACATGAAAGGCCCTTTTGAATTCCGCTGCTCTGAAAGGCCTCGTGTCACACCGTTTTGTTTTTCCTTTAATTTGCCTCTTAAAAGAAAGGAAGTCATACTTATTAACTACATTTACTTATATAAAAGAATGAGGATATTACTGTCTTGTTAATGGCAGCGAATGAATTTTCCGTCTGATGAAAATATGGGCGCCGTAGAATATACAGTAAATAAGCTTCTACTGTATAAGCCTGTCAATAAATACGTATTACGATTGTCTTCGTCCACTTTCTTTTCACAATAAGTAAGTTCTTTTTGGGTGGATGGAGATTGTTTATTCTAAGAATAAGTCAAAAACGTAGATTGAATAAAAATACTCACAAAGAGAACATGGTTAAATAAGAATAAAAGATTTTGTGATACAATACGGTGTATCATAAACCCTTATTAGTAATTAATTACGTCTTTGTTATCATTATAAAGTGCTAATCCCCAGTTGCATGTTACGATAGAAACAATGCAACGCAATCCTAGAAAATATCTTACTGTCATACAGTCATTTAAATTTGTCTATCACTAAACTCTCGTTTATTTTTAATTAATTTTATTAATGATAAATTTTATTTGTTTATTATTTCAAAGTGTAAAATATGTTGAGTTATTAAATATTTGTTTGAGCGTACGTCACTGCAAAGTTGTGAAATATTATTATCTAATCTTTAATTTATGAAATTCACTCGTTGATACTACTTCTTGAATGGAAGGAAGCCTGTCACTATGTTAATATGTATGAAATTATTGTTGTTCTTTCTAGCTGTTTTAACGTATTGGATTATTCATTAAAAATACCGTTATTCATGAGAAGAAAATACGTCACGCATTTATAATGAACTAGATTCTAATAACGATCATAGTGTGCGGAAAAATAGAACAAATACTTAATTCTATTGAACCGCATGCGTATGTATTGCGGAAAATTTATGGACATACGAGCATTAAACATATCTTACGTAAAACGTGTCATTAATTGTTCTATTTTTGAAACGTTACGTTTATTTGTGACAAATTCCTCGACATACGCTGCGGTTTTTGTGAAAAGGTCTACGTCAAAGGACACTTTGCGTATTTATGGAAACCCGTGTAATGTCTAAGTTAAATTGATTAATGAAGGACTAACGCCGAAATTATTTATAGAACAGCGTCGGCCAATGGCGTTCGATTTAAGCCAAGTGCGTAAATATGGCTCCTATTCCAACACCAGAGCAATGGCGGACCAGGACATTCGTCCTAGATATGTATTTTCGCTGCCGTTCGACTAGGGCGACGAACGAATGCGAATGCTCTCAGCTCTTGCTCTAGCCGCAGAAATCCGAATTTCGAACGCCCCCGTTTAACAGGGGGGAATGCCGCGGGCGACCAATCCAGTGTGACTATTTCGGGATAAGCGAGGGGAGGCGGACTCTCCCGCAACCGCTGGTGGGATGCGCAACACCCTAATCCCGAAATGGCAAACAAATCCGCCAGCACGCCCCGCCTAAGCACTAAATAACCTCGCTCCAGCTTCTCTGACGAGAAGACGTTCGATTAACAATCTCTCAAATGGAATCAAGGTTAAGTAAAGCTAAGAAGTTGTAACTCATCCGTCTATGATATCCGGCAGGTGCTGCAAGTGTGCAGAATCTTTAGTGTTGTAAAGTACACAAATGTCGATAGATATTTTACGCATTATGAAATTAAACACTTTAATACTATGTACACAGTGGTTTCGAAATATATAGGACAATGCTAAATTTTTACCGGATTTTCTTTTAGTTAAGGTACTAACATCATGACCAGTAGGAAGGACTTCCACTGCTGAAGAAAGGCCTCGTTTACTTAACATTACGTAAATTTATTTAATATTACGTAAATTAAAATTAAACGTCAATTAAAGAAACGATAGAGATATTAGATATAAAAATAATATGTGATTCCTTTTACATTTTGAGAACGAGAACATGAGTTTCAAAATTAGAACAAAATTAATTTCTAAGTTAGTACATAAAAATAACATAAAACTAAAATAAAGAGACAAATGGTTGCGTTCTATTTTAAAATTGACGACAGTAAATTTAGAACGCCTCATTAATTATATCGTTTAAAAGAAATGAAAGAAGAAAACAGAACAAAAATCAACCCAACGCCTTATCGTCAACACTTAAAATGTGACCTGATTGCGGAGTGCTTCATAAATCCGCAATAGCACATACTGGGCGATATACGTTATAAGCGAATTTTCACACACCTCCTGGATCCGGCTTAGACACATGCAGCTGTTTATTTGGACGGGGCATTGCGTAAGAGCATATGCCGCGCTTACGTGCCTATCGCGCGCGACGTCGCATCCGTGACGTAACGGCGGGCCCTCTAGCAAACAATCGGTTTTTTGCACCCTTTATCACGGGAGCGCCGGCCGGCCACATAAAAGCGTGGAAATCTGTTTAGGACACACATTACACTTAACGCGGCCAACTGAACATATCCGACCGAGAACGTGCCCCGACGCGCCTCGGAATCGGTAGCCGATTTGCATTTTTAATCTGTGCAAGTGACGTTTCGCGCGGGAAAATCTAATTCTAGCACGATTGTGATTTTAAAAGTAAATACTGTGACATAATATTGTTCTAAAATTTATATATTTTGTGTACGAGACGAACATAATTTTGAAGTTATTTTTAAATAATTATTATTATAAACAGAACTGTGAAAGTGACGTGTATCTGACACCAAAGATTTTTAATCTGTGATATTTTTTTTAAATCGTTAAATATGTCCGAGTGGTGCACATTACGCACCTTTAAGAAACAGGGGACGGTATCGACTAAATGTGGTAAGTAATTAAATATTTTTGACGAATCCAATATTTAGAGATAAGGGAGTTTCAGTGACTGTCTAGTGCTAATACATTTTGAAGATAGATTTAGATAAGATTTTTTAGTTAAAGAAATTACCTAACTACTGAATACGTATAAAATCAAATAATATTATAAAAACAACAATAGTTTTAATGCGACTGAATTTCTATTAAATACAACTTGATTTATGATACATAAGTTTGTTTAAACAATAATATAATTCACAGTGAAATATTAGATGTTAAATAATGTTTTTTCAATAATAAACCCTACACAATTTTTGATAACCGTTATAAAATTTTGATAATTCATTTAAAGAGCACATATAATATAGGTTGAAATAATTCGGTGTTTAATTACATGAAGATTTTTTAATTTAACCAGTAAAACTAAATGTTTCATGAAAAAAGGACCTCACACGTGAATGAGATGAAAACGACACCATATACAAACAAGCTATGTACAGTCAACGACAGAAAATTGTCAATTACGCTTAACTAAACCCCGACATAGGACGGCATATATAACCTGCAAACTCCTTTGACATATTTCCGTTTCGCAAAATTTAACAGCAAAGACTAAAAAAGTTTGGTGCTTACCGCCTTGCCAGCTGTTAGTTTGGAGCATATTTAGTACCGCGTATCTTAGTCTGTGGCTCGAAACGAGGTTAAGGGTATTCGTGAAGTATGAGCTAAAGCTTTAGAATTGTACGCGCTCAGCTGTGATTTATATTGCGGCTCACAAACAATGCTATTTTACATATTGGCAACACCGAAGCGGCGCGGAAGCTCGCCTTAAGTTTACGGTAAACTTAAATTAGCCACCAAAGTGGTGTTTGTGAACCCGTCCAAAGTATTGCGTGTGAAATAATTAATCTTTCATATCTTATGTCCGAAAAGAACTAAAAAACCGACCGGTTTTTTCGAATATAAATTCTAGAATTTATATTGTTTATAGTAATCAAAAACATCGTAATAATTCAAGAGTAAAAAATAACTTATCCATAGAAAAGCGAAATAACGCTTTCACTGAATTAACCTTGTAGGATTTTGGAATGGATAAAGAGGCGGCCGGGATTTAACGTTTTAACTTTTTCTGGATTACTTGCCAACATTTATGTATGTATTTAAACTTCGCTGCACACGATAGTTTCTTGTATTTACGCCGTTACACATTATCAAATTAAACTGCATTTACCGATTTATCGCATCTATGTTTAAACTTACCCGACATTTCGACTCTTTACAGCGTTCACGGTGTTTATGGTCACGGGACAATCTGTCCTGTGTAAAATTTAAAATAAACGCGATAAATTCATAAATATAATTTGATTAATGGCACACCTAAAGCTAAATGGCGTTCTCTACCAGTCAACCCTTGTCTACTGTTAAGATGACGGAGTGCAAACTAGTTTCATTTCCACAAGGAGCTGTACTGGTTCCCGATCCTTTCCGCCGGTGACGAATCATGAAACAAAATGAATCTGGCAGACAGTGGTGTGACTAATGGCGAAATAAACGCGACCCGACACCGCTCTTGTAGGCTTTCCGTCCGTTTTCTGAAAAATTGGGAAATCCATGAGTCAGCCGGTGAAGCAAGCGGAAAGCAATTTTCCACATGAAGGTGGTTTTTAAACGTTCAACTGTGCTCAGTTCTGGTCAGCGATTGCCTCTACTGTACCTAAAGTAGCTAAGATCGTTTACGGTGTAACTGATTCAATTTTTTCACTGATAAATAAACCAATTAAATCAATCGATTCAAATTTATAGATACCCGTATAGCGTTATTTTTATTAAAAATTTAATTGGATTACGGTTAATATTTACGATTTCTTTTATTTATTAGTCACCTAATTATAGTGACTTATTATAAACAATTGAAACATGAAGAATTTATTTAACGAATAAAAACTAAAGAAACAGTTCGTTGCCATATCTAAAATAACAACATAACATCACTTTAGTGATTTCGTATCTCCATCAAAATTCAGAACACAATGCGGCCGATAAAAAGCCGAGATTCATTCGAATCGAAGCGGTAACAATCGGCGACCGGAAAAGGCTCAACTTAAACTAATTACAAACGTATTTTCACGTAAAAACGGCGGCTAATTGACGAAAGCTGTGTCATCGTGTCACAAGAGACCGAGCCTGTGGGGAATCTCCTTCATTTGCGCGGCAAAAACTACCACAGAGTCATTATTAATCGATTTGGCGCGTACATCGCCGACCGTGTATCGCATTTACAGAAATCTCCGCACCGATTCGAATGCGCAAAGAGAAACCGCTTCCTAATGGAAAAGATGTTAAAATTCAAAACAAAACGCCCGCTTTCATGTTATAATAATAACACAGGTGCAACGCATTTAATCGACATTAAAACGGGGTGCTTCTAAAATCATCGACCAAGGTTGGCCTACATTCGGCCGTCAATGGGCGAACTTAAGAAAACTCGACGATTCTAATAATCCACGTTGACACAATCAATAAGCGACCGAGTACAATGACATCGCCTTGTTAACAAGACAAAAACGTGCCAATGTAAATAGCGGTGGAGGTGCGTTTATGTTTATCGGCCACAGACTGAATGTATCTCGGCCGGGTTTCCGCTACGATAGCCGGCGCGAAAATCACGAAAATTTTTCTACGCTTTACTAATAACTCTAGTTAAGACTACGTCGAAGCCTGATTAATGTAATATAGGGTCACGACAATCAAGTCTTTCCCAACTATTTGGTGTCTTTTTTAATGCGCTCGGTCTTTCTTTTGCTGGCCTTTAAGTATGGTCCTTATTTTTGTTTTTCGCGTCCTGCGCCGTTGTTTGTTCACGACGACAAACTTGAACCGTAAAAAAGGAAAACGAAAGTAACTTTTAATGTTTAACTATTCGTGTTTTGTGTTTTCTTTAGCAATAAAACGAAAGGCAACGGAACCACTCCGATACGGCCATCTTCGTGTTTGACTACGCGAAGTATTTATACAACACACTTGCAAAACTCACGCTTGTCCTGCAAACGGGTAGGCAGAGAATATAAGTTTCAATTTACCGCGATCTTTCCACACCCCTCGCCTAATGGGAAGAGGCGAAGCAGATGTACATTTAAAAATAAAACTTACGCAAAATCAATAAGCAATGTATCACTTGTATTATCCCATTATCGCTGATAAATAATCTGCTATTGGTTCACTAGCTAAATATTACGCGCGTGCCGGCTCGACTAGCGTCCGATAAAGTCACATTAGGATAGACTCATCGATGAATCAGCGCCGTAGTCTAACCGAATAATTGTTCACTTGCACAAGATGTAGAAAGCGAGTGGCGCGGAGCCGCTAACCGACTTGTTTCAACGATATGAACTTGTGAAAGTAATTTTATTATTGCCTTCTATCGAATAAAGTATGTTTTTACATAAATAAAAGTTTCAAGATCGGCAAAAAAACGTGACACAGTAATACGGCATATGAATTGAATGCTTATATTCCATTCCAATGTTGAAAATAATTTTTAAAATTCGAACATTTTCGAGAGCGTCAGCCTAGTGACGTAATTTAAAAAGTTCGAAGGACCTCTCCGGAGGGGTCGCAGTCCGCTTTCCAGCGGGTAAAGGTTTTCGCATACTATCCGACCGGCTATTTCATGTGCTGCGCGGCATTTCGGCGTTCATTCAACGATCGGAGTGCCCGCGCGCCGGTCTCGCACTACCTCCTCGCCACACGCCGCCGGCACACGCACGCCACTCGGTGCGAATGTCCCATCACTAGTGGTTCCTTTTTTGAAACGAGATATAAAGTATCCCAGTGTTTTCGGATACCCGTCGCGAGTGCTTCCACCCAGTGTTGTAGCGTCGATCATTCACAAGTGCCCGTTTATCGACAATCCGTCGTCCAGCCCTCGACGTTTTCGATATCGGGATTATTAAGTTGTATGAATATGGACTTGCCTGAAGGAGCTACGTCAATGCCTTGTTCATGGATGTCTTTTTAACCGGTGTGTGACTTTGGTTTTCCTTTATAAATAAACCCCAGCTGCCAGTGATTAACGTAAACAATCGTTGCAAAAAGTGTGGGTACATGGAAATTTTTCTAAATTTAATATTGACAATCGTATTAAAATATAAAACCTAAAATAGCAATACATTATAAAGTTACAATTTTTTTTACCACTAGTATGTTCATAAAAAGTTAATATTAATAAATACTTACAGGAAGTTATAATAATTTGCGCGTTGTAACATTTACTTATATTACAAAATTTTCTAATGAATGGTTATTCATAATAGTTTTTGAAGCAAAATTTAGGAAATAGTATCATATTCAGTATATATATGTATGGTATTTATGAAATAGTGAAGTAAAAGTTCCTATGTATCGAAAATTAATCAAAACCAAATGTCTATTATTTAAATATTTAATCAAAACATATTATCGATGTTGATATATAAATCCGAGCGGTATAGTCAAACGAGCGTTTTTGGAAGTGGACAATGCATATAAAGAAGGGATTCGCTGTATCCTAGCACGTGTGGGAATGAACAACATTCGACCGGCGGCGACCGATCAAAGGGATTTTTCGCTGAAAGCAATACCGCGGCGTAACCCGACACCGATATTGCCCAATAAGATGCAACCAATCGTTCATCGGCGCGTTTTAGCGATGCTGCTCAGATATATACAGACAATTATCGATGTTTTTAGTCATATCTAAAAAAATCACGACATTCATTTGATTTTAAAACTTTAATAAAATGTATCTCGTATTCCTAACTCGTGTAAACTGTGCCCAGAGATAGTTAAAAAAATTGCCGGTACAAGTATCAACGTCACAGTTGTCCATGGCGACTTGTTGGGAATTCCCAATAACAGGTCGCACAATACACCTGAACAGTAGTTTTCGTGGAAACACACGTAAGCATTGTTTAATCTCGACAATGCGTCCGATATAAATATTAAACCAGTGACCACAAACAATGGTCGCAGTGTAAAAAATTGCGATACGCGAGCGCATGCGATACGACAGTTTGCAAAATTTTCGCGCGTCTTCTATTTGGTCTGTGCGCGCTCTTGTTTGCTTAACATATTTTAAATCGCCAGCCGATTGACCTAATGATTCAGTGACCATAAACCACCGCTTATCCTCATCTAAAGTGACATAAGCAACCTATACTCCGGTCTTGTAATACAATGAAATGTGAAACTTCTTCCAAGTTTTTAATTGCATGTGTCAATATTAAATAATATTTAATTAAATATTAAATAAAACGCGCAGAAACTTCCCCGATTAGTCTGTACGTAATTATCATGTAACATAATTGTATATTTGTGTATTTCGATTATTTCGTTATAGAAAAAATTTTAAATACGGAACTGAAAGCAAAATTATTTGACCGGTAAATTTAAATGTAATATTATTCAAGGTCGCTTTAAGTCGTCGCACAGAAAGCCAATAATAATAAATAGTTCTAAATAAATATAAAAATGAACTGTAGAAACACCCGTTAATACAGTATTAAAACAAAACAAATAGCCAACTTCGTCACAAAGCAAATAGCAAAAAAGTTAAACGCATAATAAACGAAAAATAAACGTCGATAAGTTTACGTCCATTTCAAAACGTAGGAGTTAAAGGTTGGAGTCTGAGAAAGGGGCTGAGAAAGGAGAAACTTTCCACGATTTAGCATACGCCGGACAAAGCTTAACAAATCGGTGGTGTTTCTCCATTTGGACGTTCAAAAGGCGACGCACCGAAGAATCGCAATGCACCAACGCATAAAACATATTTTATGACGTCGACTCACAACACCAAAACCTTCAATAAAAGTCAGCCGTTCCATCTGTCACATGCGGCGATTTCAGAGCTAACACCCGCAAGTATAAACACAAACTTATACATACTGCTAGCAGACAGCCTCCTTTGAATCTATAGGCCTATTAGCCGTCGGCGCATTGTGCGCCGTAAGTCTTGAGCCTTGTCCGAAGAAGCGGGCGGGATTGATTAAAAAAAACTCACGTACGGAACCCAACCCGGGCGTAATGGTCGCGAGAAAGCGCCCCGTAGATTGAGATTGTACGAGAGCTTCATACACATAATGTGCTCGTCGTAGAAATGCGATTACGATAATCACTTGGCTTATTATTTTTTATGTGACTTCTTCGAGCTCTGCCACTGTTATGCGAGGCATGTGAGAGAAATGTCTTGCGATGTACATATCTCTTCGCTTGTACCGGAATACATCACCTGCACGCAAAACGTTCTTGCTGCTGGTTAATTCCCATAGCCATTACCTTTTCTTACCTCTTCACTCTTATAAAACTTTTGTATATATTAGAATAGATTGAATGAATAATTTAAGATATTCTCGTATTTACGCTTACTTTCTCAACAGGTGTAAAGACAATTTATATACATTAATGTTCGAGCATTAACCTTTCTCAACAACCAATTTAGGAAACGAATATTGACGCCAAACTTTTTTATTTATTTATTTATTTACGATATGGAAGACTTACAGCTATTCAAATCTAACTAACCCTAAACTAGATGACAAACAGCCAATAACAAGCCTTCACTTATAGAAACATTATAGTTGGAGAGCAGACAAGTACTGTAGCTGATTAATATGGTAAATTAAAAAATAAATAAATTACAAATGATATCATTTATTATTATATTACAATTGATTACAATTTGATTACAATTTTATACAAGACATAAAATTTTGTATAGTATATACTACTCAACACTACTTATAAAAAGTTACGTCTAATAATCAGATTTATAAATGTTAGTTCACTCTATTCGCTGCTTTGTGACCCCGCTTTCAAACTCATCGCGACTGTTTGTTCTCGTAAACCCCAAGCTCTTATGATAGGAAAACATTGTATCGAGATTCTTTTGATCGTCCATTACACAACACACTAAAACTAAACCAATCGTCGCTCCTTTGTTTCAGGTTTTCCCAAAAGGCTTTTGGTAGCTCTATCGTTGTTCGTGATCCTGATGATGTGCGCGATGCCAGTCGAGAGCCGGGCGGTGGAGCACAAGAGGCGGCACCAGAGGAGGCAGCCGGAGAACGTGGCGCAACTCGCCAGGGACCCGCAAACGCCCAGACGGCCGAAGAACCCGAGCGTGGAGCAGTACAAGAACGCGACCAGGAAGATCATGAAGAAGCTGAAGAACACGCGGCGGTTCTTCAACCAGGAGAGGAAGGTGCTGAACGAGTCGCGGGAGTACCGAGATGGGATGCCGGACTGGCTGCCGGCGGTCAACTTCGTCGATATACATTTCCATGATTACAAGATGGCGCGGAAGGTTGGAGGATCAATCTGGGAGAGGAAGGTGATTGTCGAGTATTTCTATCGCGGCCTGTCTAACGGTAGACTATGACCTATCATCATCCACCTGGCCTTATCCCATCTAGGTGGTGTCGGCACTTACAAGATGATTCACACTGAGTGCCTGCCTACCTGAAGTCAACCCTCCCTGAGAACAAACATCCAGATCCTAAGATTCAGATCCTAAGCACCCAGATCTGTAGGTTACACAAACACTTGCTCCATATGGGAATCGAACCCACGACCCCAAGCGCTGAAGCCAATCGCCTAGCAACTGCGCCGGACGAGTTATAAGAGTCATAAGTCAGACTATCATCTAGCTGATAGTAATTGATGCTTCAGTTAAGAAGCCTTTACCCCTGCTGTAAAGTTCGGATTAGAATCTAAGGGGAAACCTTATGCCACCAGCTTGCCAATAATTGATCACAATCATTAATTGCCTCTGATCTCTGCTAATTGGTGATTTGTTTAGTTCACCTATACGAGACGCGTGTTCATCGCCCCGATAATTCGTTTTAAAGTTAACGGGCGATTTGATGCGAGCTTTAGTATGACAGTATAATTAGCGCGTCCGATCACGCCACGTCTGAGGGTGTGGCAGCACTGCCCATCGCTCTTTTCGCTTCCCGTTCAACGTTTTTATGTTGTGCCATTTTTTTTTGTTTTAATTTTTTTTTTTTTTTTGCTTATTTTGCGACAAAGAATCCGCCGTGCACATTAGCCCCGCTCGAGGCCGCGCCGTTGCGACGTAAATGAGGTTCCGACGAGCCAAATTACACGCGGCCGCACTTTGTACCGATTTTTATTTACTTCGCGTTGTACTTAAGGGCAATAAGTTGGCGCGCAGGCCCCCAATTTCCAGCCCCACATTGAGTTCTGAAAGCTCTCGCAATTACCTAATTGCGGTTTTTATCTCGCTTTGCTCAAAAACGGTAAAAAACATTGTTTTCATTAATCCTTTGTGTGCACCAGGAAACAAGCTGAATATACAGAAAAATAAATTTGCAACATAAATGCAAATTTATATCTTGTGCGTTTAGAAATAATATATGGTCCGATTAAATCTTTTAAAGCTTTTGCTTAGTAGCAAACAGAACTAGCGGAGGCCCTGGTTAAATGCTTCGTGGAAATTTGCATAGATGGCCACGTTTCGATCCTTCGACGTGCACGCGATGTATGGCCGAAGGTTGAGGCAGACATTTCGAAACAAAGATTCAAAAGCTTTTCAACCTCAGTATCTAGACACTAATAAGTGAATTTATTCACGTTCAAATTTGAAACCATTAACGTAATTAGTTTTCACATCGGGCGTAAGTAAGTCGAAATAACGACGCGACTGAATGCATTCTTAATCGCTCACCGCCGATCGATTGTTAGCCTGTTGATATTTCTTGCCGCCTCCGCTCTGCACACGAAAATATAAAATACACAAGAGCGTTGCAACGGGCATTCAAAAGCTCTCATTGTTTACCAAACACACATCTGGAACGCGTGACTCTATTAAATATTCAAATTGGACACCCACTAATTAGTACACAAAAGTTAATGCCACACGAGACAATAAGTGCGTGGACGTTCAAAGTCTCCGATGTCCTTAAACACTGGCTGACCATTTCAATGTGGTACGCAACAGACGGTAATGTCCCGTAACATTGACGTGTCGAGATGCCCGGTATCCGGATCGATGAATATCGAATGTTTCTAGCGCGCGCCACGACAGTTCTTCATTGCATGGTCACTTAGGAAATTCAAATATTTGACATTGGGCAAAGGAAAGCGTTAGAATTCAAGTGATCTCAGCTTCGCCCGGCTCTTAGTTGACTTACGAACAATTTAAAAATTAAATACCGTCTCAAATGAGACGTTAAAACCGAGGGCTCGACTAAAGAATGGCGTGGCTGCGCCTGTGACAGAGTCAATAACGTATCGCCTCAGTCATATTTACCTTTTTCATTATAAGTTACGAGGTGAGTTAATCTTTTTGCTTTAACGAGAGCGTTGTGAAGGGTCATATATCGCGCTAAGCTGATTTCAGTGCGAGTGCGCATCATTCGGGGCGATAATAAAGCGCGGCGACTCCACAATTGCCGACGATGGCCGCTTTCACGGCGAGCGTTCGGCTTAAGCGGTCGCGGCGAGCGCGTTAGTGTTTGCTCAGTATTTACGATTTGACAAAACAACACGAAATGTTAAAAACACATTATTTGAACGGAGTGAGACGAATGTGGGCTTACGACGGCGTCGCCGCTTCGCGTTTGTCCGCAACACGTTCCGCGGGCCGGGGCCGTCTGTTTAAAGCGAATGTACGGCGCATTGTCGGGCCGCGGCTTTAGCGCTCCGCCATATTTGCTCACAGGCCCCGACGCTTTATTGTCGTCGGAGCTCCGTTCCCTCGCGATCCCCCACAATGGCGAGCGCGCGACGGACCCCGGCGCTTTTACGAACCGTAAAACGCCTGCGATTAATTTTAGGATCGATTGTTTCCGACAAACTGTCGGCGAGAGATTGGGGCCGCGTGAACGTGAGTCAACGGCGAGCGTCACGCTGCGGAGGGACGTTGCGTCTGACGAATTCAATGAACGATCGCATCGGCCGTCTCTTAATGAGTTTCGGGTACAATGAGTATACGAGCGACCACGTGTTCTATGACGGCATCCGAATGCTCACAGACAATTATCCTGTAACATTCGTCACTTGGATTACGTGTAATTGTCAGGGATTCATCTGTTTTATTCAATTAGTTAGGATAACGTAGTTCCTCATAACTTCAATAAACATATACGAATGTTCAATTAGCCGATAAAAGTAACACAGGTTTTTTTAGATGTTTTTATTATAAAGACACATATTATAATGTTTAATGCGTCATATTATATCGTCTGTACCAATGGCTTTTATTTACTACATTTGTCGTACAATAACAACAAACTCTATCAAAGGTTTTAAGTAGGATGCGGGGAAATAAATTCGCATAGTACGATATCTTTTCTTTTTTTTTTTTTTTTTATTTTATTAAAAATATTGCCCTCACTTTAGAATAACATTATCCTGTGTTGTAAGGACGTTTTACAAACATAAATTGCACGAGGACAAACACCCAGATGCGAAACAACTATCTGTGGTCGCACAAATAGTTGTCCCGTGTGGGAATCGAACCCACGACCCCCGACGCCGAAGCCAATACCTTGGCAACGGCGCTACGGAGTCATCAACTACTATATCTAAATATTATTTGCTGACCAACTTACAACGGTGTTGGTAAGTTGGTAAGTATCAAGGAAAAAGCGTTTGCTCTGAAAATCTACACCGAATAACTTAAGATTTGACCATCTTCCTCAATGTAAGAACAACGAAGTGCGAGCGAAATGTTCAAAGAAGCTATTATACATGCACAATTTGTATGAGAACGTGCGAGTTATTTAGCTGGCCATACGCCCACGTACACTTACAAGTATTCAATTACTAACTGCATCTCGGCTCGGCCGCGTAAAAAGTCCGACCGTGCAGCGAAATGTGGACGCACCATTACTCGCGGAGATTCGCGCCGCGCAAGACATTTATTTTTAAAAGGCAATAATAAGGGATCTGTTACAGGCGCGGAGGCAAACCGGCCGGTATGCTATTCATATTTACGTTTCGCATCGTATCCATCATTGTTGAGCCGCTCGTGTCCACCGACAGTCGTATTGTCGTAGGGCCTGTAATTAATTTAGCTATGCCTCCGTTCAATTCTACCGCACGCGTTTGTAACGTTAAATACCTTAAGGCCAACGTGTCAAGGACCGTAATTGGCTGACGCCACTTCAGAGTTCAAACTTTGCATTCTATGATCGAACTGTTACGAAATATTACCGCAAATATGATGTTTGTTTTGATTTATAGAATAAGTAATGTTAGTTATAGTATAACTAATATAATCCATACGTTATTAACAAAAAAAAAAACGTAAACTTTGAACGTTATTAAGCGATATAATTTAAGTCATTTAATCTAATTAATGTAACTGTATTAAAATATGCATCTTAATTACTCTGAATAATACCAGTTCGATATCGTCAGGAATATTTCCTAGACGATGCATATATTTATTAAAAAGGTCGCAAATGTAGTGCAATAAAGATTATAATCTAGCGAAATTGTAATAAAGTCCCTTTAACAGCTGCAAAATCGTCTTAGATCTGCATGAGGTTTGTTCACGCACTTAATATTTATGAAACAGGCAATAAACTTAATAGAAATCTGTTGTAGCTGTTTGTGCGACTCGATTGAAGTATTTTATCGGTTGTTAAATCGCTCAATTGTGTTAATAAAAGCTATTGGGTACTGATAATAGACATAAAATCTACCAATAAAATATAAATGTATATATTTGCCCCATTTCACAGTCAAAATGATGAACTAAGTCTGTATAACTACATAGGAAAGTCAACTTTTGACTAGTGTATAGGAAAACGTACTTGTCATACGTGTTTTTAACGTTTCAAAAAATCACTATGAGAATTTATATTTATTACTCTTTTCTATTTCATTATCAAGCAATCTTCAAATTCTATTTGTTATCGTTCTCCTGTCAGTCTTCTTCGCATTTGCGAAATTCTCTTTATTGAATCAAATGCTATTTTCATTACAAATAATAAAATAATAAAAAATATTACAAAAAGATGCAATTTACAATGACAACTATTCGCCTTTGATTAAACGAGTATCGCATATCATGTACTTTTACTCTCGGTACCTTATAGACTCACATTAAAGATCAAAGTGAAGACAAAAAATGAAGACGAGGGACACTTTTGTTCAATGCAAAATAGACCATAACCTCATCTACTAAAACCATAAATTCGTATAGGACTACGTGAGAAGAAAATCGTAGTACCTAACCACCTAGAAATGGCAGAGCGGCGTATGATTAAAGCAACACTATCAATTACGACACGCCGCGATCACGCATCCCCTGCCTTAAGTGGGCGCCGAAGCTGAAATGGTTTGAGTATTAAAAACATAAAACGAACCCCGTACGTGATGAAATAGACATCAACGAGGCGGATCGTGTGCAGTGAACTCGATCTGTCAATACACGCAAGCTGAATACTTAACATGAATTCGGTTATTACCATCGTTACATTATAACGGAATATTTCTTTATACCTAATATTGATGTTGTTGTTGTTACGATGCGATACTTATAATAACCAAAAAATAACGGAAACAGAACATCGAGCTTGACAGAAGAAGTTAAAACTTCATGAACGTATAAATGAAAGAGAGATTCTTAATGTTAAACGTTATACACACTTATTTCCTATTGTAACTTAAGTTTATGAAGTAAAATTGACAGTAAACAATCGATTAACACAACTTCTACAGCTGTACGAATGAATTCCATTCAACAAACAACTCTAAAAGCCAAAGCTATCGACTACTGACGTATTAAGTGCCAAAGTTCTAACAATAATATCACTGCAATACTTAACACCGATCACAAATGCTTAAGGACTATACATAGCCTCGACACGAATCGGCCGTGGCGTAAACTATACACGACATAAAGACAATATTAATTCATGTGCATACTTATCGAATATGCGCAAAGTCGCGTTAAGTTCAGGGCCGGCGAAGCTTTGCTCCGATCCAGCCAATCGCTTTATCGTCGCTTCGCCAATTACACATAATTACGTAAAACTTCGGAGTATAATTTTACGCTTACGTTCGCTAAATAGACTGAAGGAACCATATCGCACACAATAACTTTATCCTATATTAACGACGATGACTCCATGGCGCAGTTACCGAAGCACCGGGGTCGTGAGTTCGATTCCCATACAAGACAACGAGCGTAATCAACAGATAATTGTTTTATATATGGGTATTTGTCCACGTGAAATTTATGCAAAACGTGCTTATAACACAGTATAATGGTATCCTACAGTAAGAGGGCTATGTTTTCGAATGGAAGAATAGATTAGATCTTTCTAGGTCGTAGTGGTCGTTGGGACTTACCACCCAACTCCATCCGCACAAAAAACAATATTAGCAATACTAAGAAATTCTAAAGAAACCGATCAAACCGTCAATTAAGTTTCGCTCTCTCTTGTTGCAGTTCTCATACCAAATGCCGAAGCTGTACAAGTCGCTGAAGGAGTACGAGGTGATATTCCAGATGCTCCGCGACGTGCAACTAGACTTCCCAGACGATCCGTTCAACAACTACAAGACGGTGCGACAGAGGCTCATTAGCAACTCGCTGCAGAGGCTGTACGGCTCCATAGCGGAGATAACGGAGAGCATGAGCGCGATGGGAATGGCGACGCCACATTTCGACAGGACGAAGATGAAACTAGACACGTTCCAGATGAAAGTTGACGCGACGCAGTGTCTCAAGAACGACTACATCGCTTTCAGGGGCTACGGCAACCTGCTGAACAATTGGTACTACGAGTTCAGGTGCCCGAAGAGCAAGAAACCTAACAAGAGATGCGCGGCGTACGAAGAGAAGCTCAAGGAGAAGAAGGGCAGTAGACGGCCCAAGAACAAAACCAATCTACTCTCAATGAGTTGAGCCTCAGTCTAATAGCCGGTTTCAATATTATATCTATAGATAGATTTGGTTATTGGAAATAGAGTTTTTATGAAAGTATTATGGAGCTAATGCCAAATACCTATCTCTAGTAACCAAATCTATCTGTAGATAGAACATTGAAACCGGCCGATAGTGTATATTTATTTTGTATCGTACAAATGCCACTTGTGTACTTATTTATTTTTAGTTAAGTGTACGCTCTCTTTGTAACGTGAGATATTCGTTTGGACCGGCTTGACGAAACAATGTATTTTTGTTGATTAAGTAATGGGTACTTTCTCTGTGATATTTAGTATTCTGTAGATAGTAATTGTTAATTTATTGAATGCAGTAGTGGTTAAGCGTTGTAACTAGTTCCTTTGTCTTACTTATGCGCACTATTTCTATTGATCTACCGCTTTCGTTCTATTCATAGATCTTCGTTTACGATTGTATCCCTATTTATTTTAATGCGAAAGTGATTCCTACGACAATTCGATATTTTCCATTTTATGAAGAGTATTAACAAAAATCTAATTCTTAATCTCAATAAGTATTACTAGTAGGCGATTTGTGCCTTTTAGCCAAGAAAGACTTTTTAGCCTATTTTAATTATTTTAAGCTGCTTATTTATATTTATTTTTATAAGTACATTTGTATAAAAACGTGCCGTTAGCTGTAAATTAAATGTACTGATGCCATTTGAAACTCAGCGATAGCAATCTATAAATGTGTCTTATATTAAGTGGAATTTTTATAATTGTGACCGAAAATGATGTGACTAAGTATTAAAATGAAAATAAATGTTTTTAAAAGGAACTTTTCATTGTTTTTATGTCAATTTTATAGAAAAAAAATATCCAAATATCCATTAAAATAACCCAGCAATAATGTTCCAACGATGAACGTAAAAAATCATCAGTTCCCCATTTCCAAGAATTATTACAATTTTGGAAGGGATTTCTCATTTTCAAATAAAATTTTACCAATTTGTTTTATTTAACTTAGTTTTGTACTTTTCTTACATTTTTACCAAAAGTAATTATAGAAAACTCGTATTATAGTGTAGGTACACTGTACAATGTAAATTTATGAAAATCAAAAGGAATAATTTATATTTTACATAGTAAATATATTATATTTGAGTAATTGAAAATTCAGTTCTATGGTTAAATTTAAAAATCTCTTATCGATCAGTCAGTTAAAATTGTGAAGAAAACTATAGAAAAATGCCTAAAAAATAAAAATGCCTATAAAAATTGATACTAGCTTTAAAAATTCATAGATTACTGTTTACCTTGAACGTGAGTTATTTATAGAAATTATAAATAAATATAGCACTTTATCTACGTATATAAGTAATAGAACAAAATACCTATGTAATAGCAATTTTAGGGCCAAATAAAAAAAATAAAAATATTGAAAAATTATGTGTAAATATTATGTGATAAAATCCCAAAATACAAAATTTTGGCGAACCATATTTAGTAGATAAGCCATTATATCATTTTCATTTTCATACTGAACAATATAATGGAACAACATAAGCTGCTACTCCATACTAGAGGGCTCTCTTAGATTTGTAATAAAAAAGCATTAAGTATGTCCTTCGATAGATGGCAGCACAAGAGTGGTATCATATTGGTTATTTATTGAGATGGTTTGAAACATGTCAAAATAAGCTTTTAAATAATATGTTAAAATTTATAGCAATTTACCGAAAACTAAACTCACTATTATAAAAACGAATTTAAAACAGTGCCATCTTTAAGTCAAGTAGTGTGTTAAGATATATTGTTGACTTTTATGAATAAACAAATTTAAAATAGATGGCGCTATAGTAATAGTTTTTTGAAATGAACTTCACTGTCCTCCGTTAGAGGGTACCGTTGTCGATTCGAAAACGCGATTGGTAATTTTGTAAATAAATGTATTTTTTTTTGTATGTATTTCATATTCTCTTAATTTTTGTTACATAATTTAGCTGGATTTGATACATAATTAATTATAGATAACTAACTTTTAACCTATTCTACATTACCGCAGTATTCATTCTTGCTTAGCTTCTTTCTGTTTTTTTAGCAATGTTTTATGGTGTAGAAATTGTTAGGTAGTTTAGGTTATATAAGTTAGATTTTATTATATTAGATTTATGGTGATTCATTTGTTTTCTCGTCTCGTTGGGTTATAAATAAAAAATAAACATATATTGCATATATGACATAAATATTATAAATAAAAATAAACATATTATATATAATACATAAATAAATAGGACCCAACCAGACGGAAGCCCTCGGCAGGGCGGTATCGAGGAGCATCGCTTTCTGCATTTGAGCTTGAAGCGATCCGTCCCGGAGTCCCAGTCGCCTCAGAGGTTCGGAGAGGCTGACTGGGATCAACCCATTTGCATAAACGACTATCGGGATTATTTCGGTCGACACCCCACCCCACATGTCAGTCACCTCGTGAGCCAGGTGGGGTGGTGTGTCGACCGAACAGCCCATATTAGATTTATTATTATTTTAAAATTTTTATGGCTAATAGTTTTTGTAGTCGGTTCTTTTTCTGTTTAACAAATGTATATAGTAATAAAATGACGAAAATTTGTTTTATCTTCTCTTCACTATTCTGTAATAGCGTTTTCTGCTTTAATTTTCTTAGTCGGTTGACTTTGTTATTTTTTCAAGCTTGTAAACCTTGTGATATTATGCATTACTTTAATTCCATTAGTTTCATAATACACATATTATTAAAACCATGCCATCGCCAATTGCCATAACGACTATGTTAATATGTTTTAATGGCATGATTCTCGCATGTGTCTTTATCAAAGAAGTGACTTAAGAACACGTAGCTTGCTTGACCGTTAGTGATGTTTGCACTATTAGAAAAGTACGTGGATCTAATCTAGCGATTTATTACGTACTAGCGACCCAACCCGGCTTCGCACGGGTGTAATGCTGAATGTTTGTTTTCGACATCGCATTAGAAACATTTAAAATTATCAGTGTTTCTGTATATGCATAAATTGTACATTGAAAAGTTCGTATCAAAATCCGTTGCGTACTTTTGAAGATCTAAGCATGTATAAGGACAGACTATTGAGAATTTACGGTTTACATTATTTTAAATGATAATCACTGCCCATCGAAATTAAAACATCCATTAATGGGGCTGCAGATAAGTCGAAAACCATAATAAGGGCTATCGAGCTACGAGACTCACCGGGCGAAACAGAAATTATAAATACTTCGACTTGATGTCGGTGATCTGGAGGTTGTTACGAGTAGGTATACTTGCACCAACAATCCTGCCCATTTGTGTATTCAAATGGATTCTTAGCTGCGCTAATATTTATAAGAATATTTTTTTTATGTGAGAAAGAGGCATACGACGTGGCGGTTCACCTGTTATTGAGTGATAACCCTTTGCAACACCCGTGACGTTGTAGTCGCGTGACCGCATTTTAGGAAAATAAACTCCTACTATCTCACTCTCCAGATGAAACGCAGAAGTTTAACGCTTCTACTACACGCCGGTCTTCTGTGAGGTCGAGGTACTTACTCGGACGGACCTGCTGTGCAACGGCAACGATAGCTGCATGGCTCTAACACAGCAAAAATAATACATCTTATTTTGTTACTAAATACGTATCAAAGAAATGTGTATCGCAAATCCAACGTACTTGGCACTATTAAAGTTATGTTTTAAATCTCACGTTAAAACAATAGGCGAAGCGATTATCAAGCAACCCGCTAACCTTCACGAGCCGCGTATTTTGCGTGTGGGCTTCCGTCGACAAAACTCTAATGTTGCAAGCCCCGTTTCCAGCTCCGCCGCAAAATAACTATGACACGTTAATACTTGTAATATGTTTATACTTGTAGTATGTTTTGTATTCGAACGTTTATTACTAATAGTAATTTTGACTCGATACGAAAGAAAAACAACATAAAACCTTTATTTGCCTTAGAAAACAACTGTACTACTGCGTATGTAATATATAACAACTATTACTAGTTTCCAACAAGTAATAGTTTTTCTATATTACGTAGGTACACACAGACAGTATCTATTCCAAAATTATCACATATTTTATATATCAATATCATAGCTATATCATATTAATATACATATTTAAGGACATACAAGATTCCTTATCGTAATACGAGCTTGTCGTAAATCAGCTCTTAAGATTGCAATGTCAAACACATTTTTATCGACACCGACATCGAGAATTGATATTTTTTAAGAACCCGGTAGTAAACAACAGTAAAAGCACATTCACAAAACACACCCAGACCTGAAGATACCTAAGTCACATTCAAAGGAAAAGAAATTGAAAATGGTTTCACTCCTTTAGATTAATAGAATTAAAACAACTGTGATAATCCTACTTAAGCTACGCGGACGATTTCCCGAAATCATTAGAAAATTGCTAGTAACTATGCACATTAGTATACTAGCAGTAAGTGTAAATATTATGTCCTTCCAAACTTCAAAACATTATATCAAACTGCAAATGATATCTCCACTTTTTAACCTAAGAAATTCAATATTTCTCAAACTAAATATTTTTTTTATTTTTTACTTGAACTTCAAACATCTTATATTAATATTTTAGAAAGAAAGGCATTTAGAAACAACGTTATGAATTACTAGCTATTAACCGCTGTGCCGACGAAATGGCGAAATTTATTTAGAAAACCGATTTTATATCAAGGTCCGTAGTGATATGGTAGTTTCGTGCCGGCTATCTACAAATCTAACACGCGAACGTTATGAAAGATGGCAGTGAACCTGTCCCATTAGTTGTAAAAATTATTACAAAGTAATTTAATATGTTAGTATTAAAATTTATATTTTTCTGTGTGAAAAGCTGCCAAGCGAGCAGGTGGTTCACCTCGTGTTAAGTGAATACCGCTGCCCATGGACATCTGCTACACCCGAGGATAACACATGCGTTGACATCCCTTTGAAGATTGGGCTCCGGC